TGTCTGTAAAGGCTAATGGCCCAGGTGGAATGATGTTCTACAAGTTAGAGTTCTGATTGATGCTGAGTCTTCAAGAGGGATTCCAATTAGGGAACAGGGGTATCATAAAATAGCACCACTGAAGATCTGTGATGGTTGGCATTTTAGGCATTGTGGATAACTTTCCTAACTGAAACATATATCTCACCAACCACAACCATGTGGAGATCTGTATAATGACATGGGAGAGTGATCAGGGAGTTAGAATTAAAATTTGTTATTTGGAAGGTGCATAGACAGAGTCCTGAGCAGAGGCTCTAGGATGGGGACATTGGGCTATGAGAGTGAGTGTGGTCTGGGTGGGAGTCTTAAGGTTAAATGTGTACAAAGCCTACTTTGTCAGACAGAATACAGATAGGTACAATGGGCAGTAAGGTATGTGAGGAATGAGTGTCCTAGCCAAAAATTTAGAGTTTTACTTGGATCATAAATAATTTGGAGCCCCTTGAGGATTCTGCGAAGAGGTATGTCGTGGCATGAAAACAGTGTTCATGGTCTGATTTTCTTTTGCTTTCACAATATTGCTGGACTCTATTCTCTAACATCCTAGTCCTGCCCTAGAGCAGGACTTCACAAGGCAGCTCTGCAGATACTTTGTCTGGTCCAGCATAGTTATAAAAGCAGACTTTGGTAAGAGATGCAGGCTAATTCCTTGAAAAAATCTGAGCTTATATGAGACTTAATAAACTCATAAAATTCCCTCCATTCCCCCTTTGCTTATACATCAGATGTTGTCATTCCCATCTTGTAACCATGAGTGAGGGGAGTAGTTGGCCTTGTCTTAGTGAGGAGGAATTTGGACAATTATTTTTAAAGGATCTCCAGGTTTCTGGTAGAAAGTACGGTTATAGTGAATGTTTCTACTTTGTGTTTGGCTCATTCATCCTTGGAAGCTGCCCTAACAGTATCAGAATCCTCCTTTTTTTTTTTGCATATAAAAATGCTGACAGATTCTTCAGTCTTAAGAAGGCTAATAAAGACATCTGTACTAAAACAATCCTCTACAGAATGACAGTTTTTAAGAAACTATGCAGTAGGTCTTGCAGATAAATGGGAATCTGTGAGATGGTAGTTTATACCAAGAGCACAGTAAAATATTTGAATCCATCTTATAGAGATTATTAATGAGTTAAGAATATGGTACTTGGTCTTGTTGGGTGGGACATACAAGAGGGACTCATCCACCACAGGGATTGATTCTGGAGTTGGGTTTATTTAGTACCTTCATCCTTGATATAGATGATGGAATTAACAACCTGTTTATTATAGCCTCTGGTTGGCCAGGGGCTGCCCATGCCTCAAAAGAAAATTGAGTTCAAACTATTGAGAAAAGAGAAATGGACTCTTTAAACAGGGTAATGTATGCTTACCCAAATGCAAGGAAATATAATTGGAGATTAAAGTTGAAATAGGCCAGGACTGGCAACAACCATATTAAGCAGACATAAAATATGTTTTGCGAAGAATAAAGGCACGTGAGGAAGTCAGCCTGGCCTCAGCAGTAGTCTTGGTACTGAAGACTGTGACATGATACATGGAGGTCGGTCAGAAGGACACTCTGACAAAGCTGGGAATTAGCCCTGCTGTGTTCTGGGCTTCTTATAACCATTTAGTTTCTAGTTTGGGTTTTCATTTTGAGAAGAACGTGGAGAAGTTTGAATCAAGAAAAGGGTAATAAAAATGAATAGGCTGGAGAAATCAGATCTAAACAAAGGTGAAGCCTGGGACTGGGGCACAAACACTGCCTGAGCAGCACCAGTAGGCAAGGCGGGCACCAGACTGGGGGAGCCATCTCCACAAGAGGTCTGCTCTACCGGGTTTTACCACTAGGTATGGGGGAGGGGGAGTGGTCCTCACATTGAACTTTATGTGTTGGGTTTTTTGTGATAAAATTTCAGTTAATTAGAACTTAATTTCCCAGAACTCCTAATTAACTAAAATCTCTAATGTCTTGCTTTTCTTTTCCTTTTTTTTTTTTTAATGTGTTATTTATATATGAGAGGAGCAGATGACCAGAAAACAAGCTCAAATTAGATATTTGGTCAAAAGAAGCAATTTGTAATTGCCTAGGGTCATTACAGCTTCAGCTTCATCTCTCATATCTTCTACTTCACCCTCAAGACTATAGAGCAGTCATTGATGTTCAGTGTCCTGAGGTACTTCAAGATCATCAAAGGTAGATAGTTTTTGATAAAAAGGTTGAAACAGGATTTTCTGTAACCTTCATTTAATATCAGTTAAATTTTTAAAACCATACTTTGAGTTTTCAAGTTTATCAAAGTTTTAGTGTACAAGGGGATAAAAAAAATACTGATGAAGGGGAATGGTGAAGGCTTTATTATAAAAAGTGCTGATCAGCTATTCTTCATTTCCACAGAAGGCAGAACTAGAGGAAATGGGCTTAGTTTGCAGCAGGAGAGATTTAGAATAGACGTAAGGAAGAACTTTGTGATGGTAAGGGTTATTGGAATTGGAATACGTGACTGTGGGGAAGGGGTTCTGTGTCCATCCCTATGCACAGACCCATGACTCCAAGTCTTAGCATAGCCCTTCTTCAGGAACCTTTGTTTTTAGGTCTAGGACCTACTTCCATTCCTCATTGTCCCCATCCCTCCTGCTCTTGTCCCTTCTTTTGGCAGCATTTTATAGGCCTCAAGACAAACCTCTTTCTGACCCATGGGGAAGCCCTTGACCTGTCTTTGGGGCACATTGCTGTGGAGATAGCTGGGGGGGGCGGAGGGCGGAACAGTAAGAAGCCAGGCCTAAAGTAGCAAATGAGAAACCAACTAGTAGTAACTATTAATTATCTTGGTTATCTGTTTTTTGATGTAGAATTTTTAGAAATTCCTCCTTTCAACAAGCAATATACAGAATCCCAGCTTCGAGCAGGAGCTGGCTATATCCTTGAAGACTTCAATGAAGCCCAGGTAAGGAGTTTCTTTGTGTAGCTTCCCAGAGTGGCAATGATAAGAGTCCACTTGCTGTATTGAGAAGCCAGAGAGGGGTGAGGGAAGTTGGGTAAAGTAGCCAGAGCTCTCAGAACTGGGAAACTGCCTAAGTTATCACATGAAATAGGATTTTTTTATTGTGTACAGGGAAGAGAAGTTAGAACCTTGGCTTAGGTAAGGGGAGTGGTTCTGTTGTGGGATGAAAGCAGATTGAAATTTGTTTAGTAGAAATCTCTATTAAGGTTGCTGATTATTAGCCTGAAATATATGGGATTTGGTTGTCCCTTAAGGATTTAGGCCTCCAGAAAGCTGTAGGTGAGGCAGGGCAATATCTAGGGAAGCCGCCTGGGCCTTTCCGTGAGAAAAGCGGCCTTGGCAGAAGGACAGCTAAGTTGCATTTTGGATAGCATTTGGCAGTCTTCAGATTTGTTCTCCATGGCTCATTAGGCTGCTCTTCAGGGGCTCTCCCTAGAAGTCACCAGACCCATAGTCTCCATCTCTTTTCTTCTAGTGTAACACAGCCTACCAGTGTCTCCTAATTGCTGATCAGCATTGTCGCACCCGGAAGTACTTCCTGTGCCTTGCCAGTGGGATTCCTTGTGTGTCTCATGTCTGGGTCCATGACAGTTGCCACGCCAACCAGCTCCAGAACTACCGCAATTATTTGTTGCCAGCTGGGTACAGCCTCGAGGAGCAACGAATTCTGGATTGGTGAGTTTGAGAGCCCATCTATAACTATATAGACAGGAAGACAGCAAGCTTTTGGAGTGGAGAGAAATAAGATGAGAGAATAAGTGTTATAGAAATTGGAACTAGTAAAGGATAAATTATGGAATTTGAGTGGGTTTGAAATTATTTCAGCAGTTCATCTAGTTTATTTCCCTAGGATATGTTGTTAGGGACCTTTTGAAAAAGTGTGAGGATTTATATGTAGGTTCAATAGTCTCAACCTGTGAGGTTAGGGAAGTAAGTTTTAAGCAAGGCATTAAAATAATACAGGCTCAGGAACATGATTTGGATTACTAATGGCCCCAGGACAGATATGGAAGTCAGAAGGGTTGCCATGTCCTCTGGCCAGGATCCCAGAGAATATGCATCACTCACAGAAGGGAAGGTGGGGTTAGTATGTGTGCCATAACACAAGGCTTAGTTCTGGAAGCATTCAGATGTACTTGAGCCCCTCTGTAGAGCAGCTGTTTGTTGGATATTACCTGTTATGCTAAGGTCCTTCATATCTCAAGGTGGTGTATCTATGACTCCTTCATAGGCAACCCCGAGAAAACCCTTTCCAGAATCTGAAGGTACTCTTGGTATCAGACCAACAACAAAACTTTCTGGAGCTCTGGTCTGAGATCCTCATGACTGGGGGAGCAGCCTCCGTGAAGCAGCACCATTCAAGTGCCCATAACAAAGGTACTTGGGACGCGTATGTGTGTGTTATTTCTCCAAGGATGTCCTTAGACTCATAGCTGTTAGGCCTTGTGGTCTTAAGTCTCAGCCCTAATAGGTTGACCTTACCCATGTTTGTAAGAGAAGAAAAGTACCACATTCAAGAGGTGAGCCAACGTGAGTCCAGCACTGGGCTGCTCTTGCTTCTCTTGGTTTTCCAGTGATGTGTTTGCTAACATTTCTGTAAGGTCAGCATGTAGTGGTAACTTTTCACTTCTGGTTGTGATCAGCAGCACTGTGTTTGACACGAAAGGACTTTAGTTTGGGCAGGGTGAATGTTTTGGCTAGAAGGCATAGCTGTCTTTTAATGGAGGGCTAAATGAGTCTCCTTTCCTCATTCCCTTTCTCCCATCCTTGCAGACATTGCTTTAGGGGTTTTTGACGTGGTGGTGACAGACCCCTCATGCCCAGCCTCGGTGCTGAAGTGTGCTGAAGCGTTGCAGCTGCCTGTGGTGTCACAAGAGTGGGTGATCCAGTGCCTCATTGTTGGGGACAGAATTGGATTCAAGCAGCACCCAAAGTATAAACACGATTATGTTTCCCGCTAAAGATACTGGGTCTTATCGGTTTTATTCCTTGCTGTTGTGAAGATTGTGTTTTAACCAGGTTTTAAATGTGTCTTGTGTGTAACTGGATTCCTTGCATGGATCTTGTATCTTGTATATAGTTTTATTTGCTGGACTTTTATGATAAAATAAATGTTGAATCTCTTTGGTTGTAGTAACTGGGAGTTCTTCATCCACTTCTTTGAGCTTAATCTCAGAACAAATAGCAAGACAAACATAGTACCTTCTCTGAGGCTTTCAGTTGGCTTGTTCACTTTAGGAGGACAGCTACCCAAGGAAAATAAAGTTAGGAGTGAATTTTAAAAATTTCTGTGGCATTTCATTGTCAAAAGGTTATCCTAGGCTGCCTAAAATTCTGTACTTCTAAACTGTACTTCTTCTTGATTTTACAGCAGGTGAGGGCCCAGGTTCATAGTTGTGCCAAAAGGTGAATGGGATTGGGCACACTCTAAGTTTCCTGACAGTCAAAGAAAATGTCTCTCTCTCGAGCTGAGCTCATTAACAGCTGACTTGTGGGTACTCCCAACTCTCAGAGTGAAAGAAGGAAAAGCATTAACTAACTGCTGCACTTGGTGGGATACCTTTCTCCCAGAATAAACGTGAGAACACATGGAAATGTTAAACACTCTAGCCAGAGGTCCAGTATTTAAATTTTTTTATTATTATCGTCACAATGGCTAGAAGCCATTCCTTCCCTACTCATAGCATCATCGTCTCTGTTGACATTCTCTCAATCATCTCTAAAGCAGGGGTGAACAAATTTTTTTCTGTAAAGGGCTATCTATCTAATAGTAAATATTTTAGACTTTGTGGGCCATTTGGTCTACTGCAACCACCCACCTTTGCTGTGGTAGCCTGAAAGCAGCCACAGATAAGTGCACGAATGAGTGTGGCTATATTTCAGTACAACTTTGTTTACAGAAACAGGCAGCAGGCTGTAGTTTGCTGGCCCCTGCTCTAGAGGCAGCAGTGGAAGGGGTCACTTTGGCTGCTAACAGCAGGGAGTAAAGGTGTAGAGTGTGGATAGATGATGCACAGAGGACCAGATTCAGTGGCCACCAACTGAGGCCAGTAGGATGCATTCTTTTGATGTTTGGAGAGGGCTGTTCAATGACTATTTATTTTGGTTCGCACTGATATGAACTTCAGCGGTACCACTGAAGATTGGGCCAGTTAGAAGAACCTCCACTCCTGTGGTTCTACCAAGATTGAATAAGCAGACCTATAACTTCCAGTATTTGAAATCTGATAATTTGAGGTCAAATTTTTCTTAATGACCTTTTCTTAGGAAACAAAAGTACTTTAAATACATTGTCATTAACTAGAATTGCCCTTTTATCAGTCTGAAATTGGGAATTTCAGGAAAATTAGAAATTACTGGCAAAATTCTTCTTCAGGGTCATAATTTGGAATATCTTTAAGGGTGGGAAACTCCCAATCTCAATTTCCTGAAGGAAGAAAAATCACTGGTGTAGGCTTAAGTTACCTGGCGGGTGGAAGGGCGGCAGTGGGAGAAGGTGGCTGTTCTTGATTGATGGTGGTAACATCCAGCATTCTACCTGTTTATAAATATAATTCCTTTTTCACATTTGAGCCACAAAATATTTACCTTTCTGATCCATATTGTTTACTGCTGTATCTTCCACAGCTTGAATAGTCTCTAGGTACACAGTAGGTGCTCAATAAACGACTGCTGAAGAAATGGATCCCAAAGCTTCCAAATGTTACCCAGTCAGAGCACTGGCCTGGCCAGCAGAGGCACAGCTGACCAACACATCCTCCTTGGTGGATGAGTTAAGAACTCCCCTGAGGTGTGGCAGAGCCCTTCCACATGGGGATTATGGGAATGAATTGTACCTCTGGATAGTCAGTAATTGCTTCTAGGAGAAAAGGTAGAGCCCTCTCAGTAGACTGCAGACATTTGGTGAGTGGCTAGAAAACGGATGCTTGTTTTGAATCTTCTGTCACAGACTCAGGAACATGGTGAGATTGACTGTTATTTTGGTTTATGTACCAGAAAATTTCACATCCCGAAACTATAAGAAAAAAAAGATCCTCATTAAGTATCATGCTTTCCCAAGACTGTCATCAAAGAAATAGGAGTCAGGGCAACCTCTGATCTAGATAATGTCATCTTAAAACTCAAAAGACAGTTTCTTTGACTCTTTTGCTAACATTTCTTATAGAGAATCTGCTTGAGTAGAAAGAGGGGACAAAAATGTGCTTTTCTGTATGGGAATGAAAAGCAGAGGAGGAAGCTTTACGTTGCCAACTACCACTGAGTCTCGCAATTAGATTAAAAAAAGCTTAGCGTTGGAAGCCTTTCACAGATGAGGAAGCAGGGGCCAGTGAGGCTGAGTGCACCGGGAATGGAAGCCACACTACCTCCCACACGGTGGTACACAATCTCGGGAAGGAACTGAAGACCCATCTCATTTTAATACTGTACTATGATGATGATTTTTACTAGAAAATAACCCATTGCTGTCAAGTCCATTCCAACGCGTAGTGACAGACACTACAGGACAGAGTAGAACTGCCCCGTAGGGTTTCCAAGGCTCTAATCTTTATGGACGCTGATGGACTGCCACATTGCTCCTGCCTAGCGGCTGGTGGGTTCAAACCACCGACCTTTCGGTTAGCAGCTGAGCATTCAACCACTGTGCCACCAGGGCTTCTTTTACTAGAAAATAAAATACTAGTTTATCAGATGAGAGTATTTGGACTAGATAATGGCCAAAGTCTCCTTCCAACTCTGGAATTCTACATCAAAACAAAACAATCTACTGAGTTCCCCAAAGGTGGTTCCTACCTGCCCAGAGTTCCACCAGCCTGGGTGTAATACTTGTTGTAATCTAGTCGTAACAGTAGTTGAGCCAAATCTGAGTTGATCTGATGATTGCGAACACTGGAAAGAATCTTGAATAGGAGTGAAGACTGGCGGCTAAAGCCCTGCAAAGAAAAGGCCTCTGCGCCATCCTTCTGGACACACCAGCGCTCTGCATAGAAACTGGGCCTTGCTTGAAATTCTACACAATACCTGGCCTTCTCACAGTCCCATTTCTATTAGCTCCTAAAATGACTTCTTGACACCAACTCCACAGACTGCATGACTTCCTATGAAAGTACTTTCAATCTCAGCAGGAATGTAGCAGCTGGTTTCAAATTAATATATTCTGTTGTGCACAGGGTTTGGGGAGAGCCTGAGTGTTTTTGTTACAGGCGGATAATTATAATCTCAGTCAATAACGGGTTAGTCAAGGAAGTAAGGAGGTGGGAATTAAGAAAATGAGAACAAAGCCAATGCATATTTGATGGGCTGAATAAACTATTCAAGGCAGAACTATTTTTGAACACTAAGGTGGCATGTAATTATCTGCTTCAAAATTAACTGATACCAACATTTTTCTCTTTGTATCTTGTTATATCTGTGCGCATGTACTGGGGAAATGCTTTACAGACTCAGGGCAAGATCAAGATTCCCCAGTGGCAAAAGCCCCTCTAGTCCTTTTAACAGGGCTGCATCTCCAGTGTCCAGGCTGACTCACCTTCACGAGAATACTCAGCTGTGCAGCTCCGCGCTCATCCAGTGGGCCTAGGTTCTGACTGACCAGGGAGCAAAAACTATGACAGAGATCTAGGATTTCATTCAGGCAGTGAAACACCTACCCAGGAAACAGAGGGCATTAGGAAGGGAAGGAAGGTACATCTGTGAAATTAAAGATTTGGGAAAATAACTACAAGCTGACTTATTCCCATTCTCCCACATCTCTCTTCAGGATACACATTGCCACTTACAAGTCTCCTGCCAGCCCCTCTAATGCCACTTTTGTAAAACAAACTCATCCCTTTCTGGCATTTTCTTAGTTACTTCTGCAGAGAAGCCCCACTCTAACCACATTAAGCTAGTCATCACTCCTTGGACCCACGAGTGGGTTCCTGCCTATGAGCTCTGCTCCCAGTGTTCGTGTGCTGGGATACTGTTCCCTTTAATACCACTTCAACTTGCAGTGAAGCACTCCCTTCCCCACTACAGCCTTTAGTGAACCCCACTTCTCTCTATTATCTTGGCATTTGTTCAGGCCTCCTGTGTTGTTACTGCTCTGTGTAGGTATATATATCCTGCCTCTCCCACTAGACTCTGAGCTCCTTAAGGGCAGAGCCATAACTTAGACCTCTTTGCATCCTCAGTGCCTTGCACACAGTAAGCACTTAATATTTACTGATGATGACTTACTCTGATATTCTGCTTTTCCCCAAGGACGTACCCTTGCCATCCAAGTCTACCTGTCACAATGGTTCTCAGTTATTTTCAGTTCACAGAACCCTTTGGAATGGCATCTGTAACTCACTCTTCCTTGGTGCAGCAAAAATAGCCCCAAATATCAGAACAGAAGAGAGATCTGCGTGTTCTGGTGTGACTCAACTGAGTCGTCAGCTAGCTCACACAAGAGGTGAAGCGTGAGCGCTACAGAAGAAACTACACAAGGGAGCATTTCAACCTCCCTGCTTTTTAGCCTGCAATTGGAAAACACCTGTGCACCTTCAAAACCCCTGATGTCTGGATCCCATTCTAAAGATTCTCATTTAAGTGGGCTTGGTCTTAGATTGTGAGAAGTTCCCCAGATTATTCCAATGTGCAGCCAAGTTTGACATTAACTGCCCTACAGGGAGCACCCCTGCGTGCACGCACGCACACAACTCCAGTTGTCTGTGAAAACACCTTTCAAACAACTGGTCTACCCTGATCCAAAAGATTTCTAGAAAATAGCTCTACACGTTTTTTTTTGGTCCGTCTGTGGTGTCAGAAAAGTTTTTGAATTTTCTTTAAATCCTTCCTTCTGGGGGTTAAGCACACATTCTTTCATCTGTAGCTGCTCACCACCCCCATTATATAATGTTCCAGAAATTCAAAGATATTTAAGTTCCCCTTTAACATTCCCTTTTAGTTGTGCTTTATAAGTTGTTAAAAATGGAGCTTGAACAGTCGCTGAATGATCACTCCATATCCTGTCAATGAGTGCCTAGAGGACAGTCCGTGCCAGAAGCAGTCAGGAAACCAATCAGCCCTACTTACAGGCTTCAGCAGGATGAAGGACTGAGCCAGCAAATTGCTCAGGAAGTGGTCATGAGCCAATCGGATGCTTTCAAAGTCTCGGGTAGAATTGATCTGATGGAGCAGCTGTGAGAACTGAGACTCCAGCACATCTACCTGATAGACAATTATACAAATAATCTTAGCACGTCCCGTAATCCGATTACTCAAGGACAGTGAGACAGATGCCTGACAGGATGAAATAGAAAATTTCTGCCCCCACTCATCTTCCTCCTAACCAAGTCACTTTAAGGCTGACCAAAGACTCCCTAATTTTGCCCAGCATTGCAGAAAGTTATCTGCCTAAGTCCTAACGACCCCCGGGGTCTTGGCAGACCTCTCCTGACCCAATCCACTCATGCCACATCCCCTCCACTGACCGACTTGCTTAATTTAAGTTCTGTAGGATCCAGAAGTTACAGCAAACTGTAAAAATAATGGTCAAAGCAACAATAAATGCACTGCTGATAAGGGCCCTATTCCTTATTCTCCTTCATCCTTTTATTTCCACTTTCCCCTAAAATGCCCCCAAGAAACACATCTAGTGATACAGTCCCCAAATTTTCTCAAACCTCAGCGTTTTAGCAACTGCAGGATTGCAGTCCCTCTTAAGTACTCCTGCCAGCCTCACAGACTTCTCTTCATACCCCTTCCTCCTACTCACCCCTCAGTACAGACCTGGAGATAGTACTGAAGGTTATCCACCAAGAACGCCATGTGGTTCCGTAGGCGCCACTTGACTGCGTCTGTCTGGTTGGACTTGAGGTGCTTGCGCTGCATCTGCAGGGCCCAGCAATGCTGCAGTTGAGCTTGTACCCGGCGCACACTCAGCAAGTACTTGAAAACAACATTGTACCTGGACAGAGACACCAGGCTCTTCAAGATCACCACACCCTCAGAACAGACCCTAGACCTTTGTGCCCCCACCCCTCCCCCAAAAAGGCAGGAAGAAAAGAAGAACGGCTAGAGATGTAGACAACTAAATGGTGGTTTATTCATACAGTGGGGTATTCCATAGCAGGCACTCTCCAACACAACAAAATGAATCTTAGCAATAGGATTTTAAATGAAAAAAGTAAATCTGAAAAGATCACATATAGTCTGATACCTTTTTTATAATGCTTAAAACAACTAAAAGCTATACACACACACACACATTTTGGGACTATATATGTAGATGTTATAAAACCACATAAAAAGGAAGGTAAGAATACATGGGATTTAAGATAATGGTCACCTTGGGTGGGGGAGGCAAGGAGAGGTCTGCGGAGGATCATATAGGTACCCACTGCCATCGAGTCGATCCTTACTCATAGCGACCCTATAGGACAGAGTAGAACTGTCCTATAGGGTTTCCAAGGAGTGGCTGGTGGATTCAAACTACTGACCTTTTGGTTAGCAGCTGAGCTGTCTTAACCACTGCACCACCAGGGCTCCATCACATAGGTAGATGGACGTTATTGTCAGTGTTCTCGTTTTCGTACCGGAAAGTGATTTTATGGCTAGTCTGTGTGTATGTGTTAAAGAAGGAAGGAAGGAAGGAAGGTCTTGCATAGACCAATAATAAGAGTGTGTTATGGACCAAGGATTGTGATTAATCCTATTCTCTGTCCCTGAAGCCCAAAAAGAGCAAACGCCTGCCTCCCAGCAAGCTCAGGGGCTCACTTAATGCTGAGACCCCATACTGAGAAGACACAGGAACAGAGAAGCTGACCTCTGGTAGAACTGGATATACCTCCTTGTTCTCACATAGGCTTGCAGAAGAAAACGTGATTCTGTCTGGTTTTTAAAACTATCTATTTTTATAGAACAAACATATCAAAATAGCAGACCTTATTAGTATCCTGGTTTGAAGAAATTTAACCACAAAAAGACATTTTTCAGATAACTGGGGCAGTCTCAATATGGACTGGATATTAGATAATAAGAATTATCATTAATTTTGTTGGATGTGATAATGGCACTGTAGTTATGTTAAAAATATGCCTTTTTTGAATTGCCTACTGAAGGAGTGAAATGACATGTCTGAAAAAAGCTCTGGCTTTAAAAAGCTCTAGCAAAAACAGGGCAGGGTAGATGAAACAAGCAGCAAAATGTTGATGGTTACTGAAGCAAGATAATGAGTACATGGGAATTTGTTATCTTTACTTCTGTTTATATTTGGAAATTTTCATAATAAAAAGTAAAAAAAAACCTAAACTCCATTTCTTCAAAGGTGTTACTCTTTCAAGACCCACTTATTCTGCTTTCAATTTTTTTTTTTTAATATTACTATGTGTTTTCATTAACGGAAGCATACTAAGTCATGAAATGTATTTAGATTTTTGGTTGGTAATATGGATTTTGAAAAATGTGGCAATACATTATTTCAAAATGTATTCCCATTTTGAATGGGAATAAACAAAATTCGGGGGGGTGGTTCTCGGGCGCCATGATTGGTGGGTGCCTGTCTTTCCCATCGGTCATGGGAGGCATGATTTATTGCGGGGCACCTTCCATTTGGTTACACAGGGAACCTCTCGTTTTCTAAATATAACACAAACAAAAAACAAAACCAAATTCACCGGGGTTCCCTAACTATCACACAAGAAACCATAAATATGCTTACAAGGCTCATCTAGTGGTACAAAAGCCAAAAGAGACAAAACTTTTACCCAATCACACTTCCTGGATGCACTACCTCACATTGAAGCCATTTTGCTTCAGTGAGCATTTCTTTCACCTTTCACCATAACACAAGTCCCCACTGCAGGGCACCAAATACTTATAGCAGGAAAAGTAAGGTCCCAAGAAACTTGAGAGGCAGAAAAGGGGCGGCGGGGGGGGGAGTACCATATGTCCTATGGGTCATGAAAGGGTTAAGAGCATATCAAGTTAGGTGTTAAGTGGACTGTTCACCTGTGGGATGCTGTGAGTTACAGAGCTTTGGAGGCCCTCTAACTAGATCCATGCAGCTTGCCTAGGTGGGCCATGGGCTCTGAACCTGCCATAGCATCTTCTCCGTCAACCAGCCTCGTCTCTTTCAGTTCATGCCCAGTCTATCATACTCTACTAAGCCTCTCTACCTTCAAAAAGTAGAGCGTTGTAAAGAGGAAGAGGGAAATGAAAAGAGATGGTTGGAAGAAGAGATGGCCCTTTTGTTCCTCTGCTTTCTCTCTTCTCCACTCCTCCAGCATCACTGAGCATGACAGGTTCCATCCTCCACCCAAGGCCAACGGCCAGTTCTCTAACCAATAATAGGGTTTGGGAAGTCCCTTGAAATGGTGTGGGGATGGATTTCAGAGGCCACCACCAGTCAAGTAGGCTTCTCCCACCTCCTTTCTCTACAGCTCTACCTCCCGTCTGGTTTAGGGCCATTGTGTCCCAACCAGGGCCAAGCAAAAGTACTTGGAAGGCCGAGAAAGAACAAACCAGATCAGACAGTGTCTCTCAGCACCTGGGTCCAGCTCCTTTATTCTATCCCCCAAGACTGGCTGCCCTGTTGCCTCTCCCTCGGGGTAAGGAGGTGATCATCTCCCCAGTGACTAAAATCCACAGCAAATACTCAGGCAGGAGGACTTCCCCAAGCAACCAACAAAAAATTACAAAAGTTAGGGAGGGGCTTTGTCAGGTCTGAGGCTAAACTCTCAATGTGGTGCTTGAGACTGCATTTTCTAGAGATTACAAACTGGCAGCCTGCAATATTTTATTATCATGGTTTTAAAAAAAATTTTAAAATTCTGATGGTTTTAAGTGGGCTTCCACCCTCCATTTCAAATTCCAGTTTCCACCACTCCCTACTTTCTCACACAGCCTCACTTTTGAATCCTATCTGCCCAGCCCCGGAAGGCATCTGAGTTTGCAACCTCTGAGCCACACGGATTGCTAAACACTAGCTGGGGACTATCTTGCTCCCACCAATTCTATGCCTGCTAACTTCTTCCCCTGGAAGCAAGGTGGGTAATATTTTCCTGTCAGCAACTCAGAAATACTCACTTTTCCAGGACAGCAGGGGTGAAGAGAATGTGGAGCGGCCACTGCACTTTGTAGGAAAGACCTAGGGCCGCCCAGCCGGACGCAGGGGTTTCCCGGGGAGAAGTTTCCCGAGAAGGCCCTTCTCTTGCCTGAGTGGCATCTGCAATGACCAAGAAAGAAAGAACTCTGTTACTGAGAGTCTCAACAAGGTGAACAGCTCTCGATGGGAGCACACTCGAGCCTGCAGTGTCAGAACGCAGAGGGCATAAAGGCAGAGGGCAAGGACACTTCTACGTGAGCTTCTCTGGAGGCTGGTAAATAGTGAAACATGGACCATTCCAGCGGCATGACAGAAAAGGTGGCCTGGGCATCTCATTGAAGCTCTCTGGACCTCCCTCTTTTCCTGTGTGAGATTAGGATACTGGACTAGACCATCTCTAAGGTCCACAATTACATGTTTTCTGTGGAGGTGGATGGAAGCTGAGATGTGAAATGGGTGATGACCAGTAGGGAGCAGAAAGAATGGCAAACCTTTATGCTCCTTTCCATGATACTCAATTGTCAAATGCAGCAGAGGGAGAAGGTTGTCATCATCTAGCAATACCTTGTGTGCTGACTGCTGAAAGGCCACATTCACATCTGCAAGAAAGAACACATGAGCTGACAAGAATACTTGCCTCCATAACAAACCCAGACTCCTCCAGCTTTCTGCTTCTCCCCTGCCTGCCTACCATGAATAGAGGATGTAGCAGATATCTGTTGCTTGCCTAGCGTTCATTCCTCCTCCTTCTGTTGCGGTAACGGCACCTACTTTTCCTTGAAGAATCACCCCTGCCCAGAACAATCCATGCAGTTCCAGTGGGGTTGACAACACTCAATTCTAGGGGTAAGCAGGTGGAATACTCGATTCCAGGCGTGATCAAATGGAACATAATACTCCATTGTGTTCCAGTATTTTGTTAGGGACGTGAACATGACCCAAGCCAGACTAATCCAGCCAATGAAACTCTAGTCAGACTCTTAAAAAAAAGTGAAACTTTTTTTTCCTAAAAAAATAGGGACTTAGTAGGATGTAAGCTTGGTGATGCTGAAGGCCATTTTGCCACCATATGGAGAAGGCCTGCCTGGGAAGAAAAGCAGAGCTGAAAGATGTAAAGAAATCAAGTCTTGAACGTATCATGGAAGTCATCGGACCAAACTTTGCATAGAGCCATCAAACCTCTGGGCTTTTCAGTTATGTGAATCTATTTATTATATGTGAAATAAACCAATGAACTTCCAATTTTTTTTTTTTTTTAATCTTTGCTTGATTTGAATACAGCAGACATCTGTTATTCTATTGGACTAGAAAAATGGTCATCTTGACCTCCCTCGCCATTTTCTTGTTTTGGTTATGATCCTTACCCAACTCATGCGACTTGAATAGGAATGGTCAGGTTATTGATCATCGACTGGTCAACAGGTAGACACTTTACTCAATCAGGCATATCCTCAATCTCTGACCTCTCCGGCCACAGTGGTTGATTTGATAGCATATCATCTGGGCTGTTTCCTTGGGATTTTTTTTTTTTACTTTTATTTCTTTAAATTTTATTTTGTTACTGTTGTTGAAAATATACACAGCAAAACATTCACCAATTCAACAGTTTCTACATGTACCATTTAGTGACACTGATTACATTCTTTGAATTATGCAACCATTCTCACCATCCTTTTCTGAGTTGTTCCTCCTTCATTAACATAAACTCGCTGCCCACTAAGGTTCCCATCCAATCTTTCAAGTTGCTGTTGTCAGTTTGATCCCATACAGATAGTTCTTAAAAGAGCATAATGCTAAAGGCAGACCTTTTTTTTTTTACTAGTTAAGCTAAACTATTATTTGGTTTTAAGACGACTTCAGAGGATATTTTTGGTGCAAGGTTTAAACATTATCTCAGGGCAATAGTTTCAGGGGTTCATTCACCCTCCATGGCTCCAGAAAGTCTAGAGTCCAGGAATATTTTAAATTCTGTATTTTCCCCCCTTTGATTAGTATTCTTCTATGGAATCTTTGATCAAAATGTTCAATAATGGTAGCCAGGCACCATTCAGTTCTGGTCTCATGGCAAAGGAGGCAGTTGTTCATGGAGGCAGCCACACATTCCACGTCCTCCTCCTATTCCTGACTCTCCTTCTTCCTCTGTTGCTCCAGGTAAATAGATACTCATTGTTGTGCCTTGGATGGTTGCTTGCAGGCTTTTAAGACCTCAGGCACTATGCAATGAACTAGAGGGTAGAACAGAAGCACTACATATGTTTTTAGGCCAATTAATTGGGATATCCCATGCAGCCATAACCCTAAACCTCCAAACCAAGAAACCAAATCCCATGAGGTGTTTGGTTGTACATAAGCAGCCTAGCAGCTACTCTTTTTTTGTTCTTGTCATTGTTGTACATATAGCTACCACACAACTTTTGCCAGTTCAACTTTTATAGGCGTACAACTTACTGACAGCAATTACAATAATTAGCTGTGCAACTCTACCCTTAATCAATGCGATTTTTCATCACCATTAACCTCCCTTTTTCCCCTCCTTCCTGCCCCTGGTAACTGCTAATAAACTTTGGTCTCTCTACATTTGCCTTTTCTTGTCTTTTTATGTAAGTGAGGTCACATGATGTTTCCCCTTTCGTGATTGGCTTATTTCACTCAGCATAATGTCTTCAAGCTCCATCCATCCTGTAGCAATGTATCAAGGCTGCATATCTCTTACTGGCTGAGTAGTATTCCATCTCATGTATGTGCCACACTTTGCTTATCCATTCATCTGTTGATGGGCATTTAGGTTGTTTCTACCTTTTGGCTATTGTGAATACTGCTGCAGTGAACACTGGTGTACAAGTCTCTTTTTGAGTCTCTGCTTTCAAGTCTTTTGGGTCTATACCTAGGAGTGGAATTGCTGGGTCATATGGTAGTTCTTGTTTTGGCTTTTTGAGGAACCGCCACATTGTTCTCCACAACGGCTGTACCATTTTGCATTCCCACCAGCAATGGGTAAGGGGTCCACTTTCCCCACATCCTTGACATTTGTTACTTCTGCTTTTTTATCTTAGCCATCCTAGTTGGAGTGTGATGGTATCTCAATGATGGCTTTTTATTTGCATCTCTCTGATGGCTAATGAGGAAACCCTGGTAGTGTAGTGGTTAAGAGTTTGGCTGCTAACCAAAAGGTCAGCAGTTTGAAATCCACCAGGCATTCCTTGGAAACCCTATGGGGCAGTTCTACTCTGTCCAATTGGGTCGCTATGAGTTGGAATCAACTTGACGGCAACAGGTTTGATTTTGGTTTGGATGGCTAATGAAGGAGCCCTGGTGGCGTAGTGGTTAAAGCGACAGACTGCTAACCGAAAGGTCGGCTGTTTGAAACCACCAGCAGCTCCACGAAGAAAGATATGGCAGTCTGCTTCCACAGAGATTTACAGCTTTGGAAACCCTGTGGGGTTGCTATGAGTCAGAACCAACTTGATGGCAGTAGGTGGGATGGCTAATGATGCTGTCATGGATTGAATTGTGTCCTGCAAAAATGTGTGTATCAATTTGGCTGGGCCATGATTCCCAGTATTGTGTGACTGTCCACCATCTTGTCATCTGATGTGATTTTCCTATGTGTGGTAAATCCTGCCTCTATGATGTTAATGAGGAGGGATGGGCGGCTGTTGTGTTGATGAGACAGGACCCGATCTATGGGATCGGACTGTGTCTTGAGCCAGTTTCTTTTGCGATATAGAAGAGAGAAGTGAGCAGAGAGATAGGGGGACCTCATACCACCAAGAAAGCAGTGCCAAGAGCAGAGCACGTCCTTTGGACCCAGGGTTCCTGCGCGGAGAAGCTCCTAGTCCAGGGGAAGATTGATGAGAACGACCTTTTCCCGGAACCAATAGAGAGAGAAAGCCTTCCCCGGAGCTGACGCCCTGACTTTGGACTTTTAGCCTACTTTACTGTGAGGAAATAAATTTCTCCTTGTTAAAGCCATCTACCTGTGGTATTTCTGTTATAGCAGCACTAGATGACTAAGACAGATGCTGAGCATCTTTTCATGTGTCTGTTGGTCATTTGAATGTCCTCTTTTGTGAAATGTCTATTCAAGTCGTTTGCCTGTTTTATGATTGGGTTATTTGTCTTTTTGTTAAGTTGTCCAAGTTATATATATATTTTGGTTATTAGATTCTTGTCGGATATATGGTTTCCAAAGATATTCTCCCAGTTGGTAGCTTGTCTCTTCACTTTTTTAGTGAAGTCTTTTGATGAACGAAAGTTTTTGATTTTTATGAGGTCTCATTCCTTGTTATTTTTTAACTTGCTACTGGGGAGACCAGGTTTGCTTCCTCCAGTAGAGGACACTATGGTGCATGTTCCTGGGAGTTGCTGGTGGCCATGCTTCTAGACGGGACTGGAAGGCCACCAAAGAGCACACAAGAGGCACAGACAAGATATGGTAAGAGAGAAAGAAAGAATGCTAGTAGAATTCAAGTCCCTAGTTTCAGTTGTTCTGAGCCCGGCTACAATTATCTCACTGGAGTTTTAGATACACTAGCAAATACACTTCCCTTTTCTACCAAGGTTACTTCTGGTTAGGTTTCTATCATTCACAACCTAAAGAGTTCTAATACAACACTGCAAGTAGCAATAAGCCCCAATGTATCCCATAAGGTATATTTGGCTATAATCCAATGAGATAAAACACCTGGTCTGAAGGCCTGCACCAGCTCTTCCAGCCAAGATGCTGTTCCTAACGACCTCAGCGAGAAGCCTACCTGAAAGGCCTTCCGTCTTTGGAAACACTGTCCTGAACTCACCAGGCTGCTCTCATGTGGAACAGGGTTCAATGGTGTGGCAGCAGCCAAGAAGAACCCTGCAGCTTCAGTAAGCTGGCGTTCTCAGGGCCAGAGGGCAATTACCATGCTCAGTTACTGCAGTGGGTGGTGTTTTCAACATGTGTTGAGCTGTGTCAATGAAGGCCTGAAACAGTTCTCCACGTCCCAGAAGGTAGAAATCTTTAATGATCTGAGGAAAGAATTTCAATTTACAATTCAGCAGTCCAGCAGGACCTGGAGCTCCTCACTATCCTAAGGGAATCACACGTATAATAAAATTTCCACTCTCATCAGTTTGAGCCCAACCTACAAAAGGATTATAGCCTTTTGGCATTTAAAGGGGGTATACTTAGCAATTCACGGCAGGATGAGTAGTGTATGTTTGGCATCAGTTATTCAATGGCAATACAACTATATTAGGCCAGAAGAGAATATATACTCAAATCTCTGTATTATAGTAGATTCGTAGTGTTAGGCATAGTTTGTTCATTTGGGTCAGGACATATGAAGCCACTCCTGAAGTCTGGGTATAGGCAACCAGTGGCCTACGGAGAGGGTGGCAAATGAAAGCCATTTCCCACTAGCATCATTTGAAGAGCTGAATAGCTGTTACCTTCAGCTGACCCAGTAAGTCTGACTCTTCTACCATAAGCTTCCAGAGATGCTGTGAAAAGAACCAAAAAAACAAGGATAATATTTTATTACAGTGAAAACCCTGTACAAAAAAAATGGTTCTGTATAAATCCATCAATATAATGAAAAAAAGAATATACACCATGACCGAGCTGGGTCAATCCCAGCAATAAAAGAATAGTTTAACAGTGGGAAAAAAGTGAGATGGAAATGTTCTGGAATTAGACAGTGTTGATGACTGCACAACATCATGAATATACTAAAAACCACTCAACTGTATACTTTCAATGGTTAAAATGTTGAGTTTTATGTTATGTGACTTAAAATTTTTTTTTAATGTGAATATTATTTACTACATTAAAGATTAAAGGAGAAAAACCATGTGATCATCTCAATTGATGCAGAAAAAGCATTTGGTAAAATTCAACATCCATTCATGATGAAAAGAAAGGAAAAAGCGAGAGCGAAGGGAGAAAAGGAGGAGAAAGAAAACATTAATAGAACAAAACTTGTTTATGCTGATAAAGGTCATGCTGCCTGACATGAAAAGGCTAAGGCAGTTCTGCCTCTCTTATTAAAGGGGACGCTTTTATTTTCTTTTTGTCCCCCAACTCTCTCAAACAAGCTAAGCTCCCGCCACATCAAGAAGAAATACAAGCCAGCTACTCAATTTCTGGGGAACCAGTCCATCTTCTTCCTAAAAAAGTAAGAGATGCAAGACAAACCTCAGCCACGGTGCTGCGGATGCGATCCACCACCTGCTCAAAATCCACCAGGCTGAAGAGTGGCTGCTGTTTGAGTCGATGCAGCTCTGCAGCAAAAGTGTCCTCCTGGTTTTTCAAAATGGATCCTGCCAAACGGGAAGGTGCTGTCAAAGGGAGTCAGAGAACACCCGGCCCAGGCAAGGTTCTCTGGAGAGGGCCGATCCTAGTGGTGTGGCTCCTTCACCTGCTTCTCAGGAAAGCAAGTCATAGTTGTGCTTGAATCTCACCACATAAACCTTAGTAGCCCCTCCCTCGGACCAGGCATACTTTTGGACCACGTAGTATTAAGTAAGAAGAGCCTTTGAAGATGTAGGACACTGGGCAAGGAGAGTCCTACCTTTTCTAGTTAGGTTCACATTTTGATTCTCAAACATCTGGACAGATTCTCCAACAAAGAGGATTTTCTCAGCCACCCTGACTGGAATGTAGGATGGCAAAATCTCCACCCGCAGGGAAAACTGCTTGAGAGATGGCGCCAGCATGTTCTCCTCCTCAATCAGGCGCTGGTCAAGGAAATAATCCAAATCAGAGATGAAGTGTGAAAAAAAGGAAAACAAGAAAGCATCCAGGAACTCTCCCAACCATGACTTATACTTCCCAGAAGGAGGGACGTTAAGTCTGAAGCTGCACAGTTCTGACATCACCAGTGGCGGACAGCTGTATTTAATTTTCACGGTGGCTTTTTTAACACTGGGATTTTCATCCTACCTTACAAGCTGTGTAAAAACTTATGCAAGCAATCATTCAATCTGGAACTCAACTTCCTTATTTGTACAAGGAGAGTTGGTTTTAATTTTTTCCAGGTATAAGGGTCTTGTTAGAAATGCAACTTGTTTGAACCTTGTGAGAAACAGTGGAAACTTGCTAGAAATAAAGTTCTCAGCCTTTCCGCAGACATACAGAACCAGAAGATGTGGGGAGCAGGCCCAGCAGTCCCTGTTTTAATCAGGGCTTCAGGTGATTGTGATGCTCACTAAAGTGTGAGAACCACTGATCAAGCCCGTGACGCCCCAACCTCCTACTGCCCAGTCACTCGGGCCCCTCCCATACCCTCACTGGCTTTTGATTTGACCCTTCTCACGCTCCATCCTGGAACTCCTGGCTCTGTGCTCCTGACTTGGATCTCCACTGTCTGCACTTTCTGATCTGGGCTTCAGGGACGGTGCTCCCCAGGCACTAGCCCAGGCCCTCTTTTCCTCTCACTCTACACACCCTCCCTAGACAATCACATCTGCTTCTGTAGCTTAATGATCATCCTGACGGATATTTTACATCTTTTTAGGTCACAGATATCTGCAATTTTAAAAACTATGGACTTTTCAGACAAACGTGCAAACAACATTTCACAGAACCTCCTGAAGTCACCCCTGGACGCCAGGTGAAAAACTCCTGAGCTATATGCTGCTGCCCCCAAATCTCTGTCTTTAACCTACATTACTGTCATGAGCTCAACATGTCCACAATGGGACCTATCTTCTTTCCCCCAGTACCAGCTATACACATTCCACATCATCACTACCCGCCTAGCTGCTGAAGGCAGAAACCTAGCTGTCATCCTTGATTCTACCCTCCTGACCCACATCCAACCAATCACTAGGGTCTACTGATTCTATCTCCTAAACATTTCTCAAATCCTTTACCTCTTCTCCATATTCACTGTTACCCTCGGTTTAGGGCAGTATTATTTTTCACCTAGATATCCCCAACAGTCTCCTAACTGATCTACTTGCCTCTAGTCTTGATTTCCTTTTTAGTGATTCCCCACATAGCATCCAGAGTGATTTTTCCATCATGCGAATCTGATCATGTTACTGTTTTGCCTAAAATTCTTCCCTGGGCTCCCAGCTCTCTTTGCAGGTTGAAGTCTAAATTCCTTCCCACTGTTTACAAGGACCTTCACGATCTTGCCTCTGCTTAACTCAACAGCGACATCTCTTTCCACCTCCCTCTCCACTCTCTGCCCCTTATACTTTATATTGCAGCCGTCACATGACCATTTCAATTGAATTACTAATAGTTCCCCAAATGAGCCACGTCCTTCATGGCCTCTGTATCTTTCCACACATCAGTCCCTCTGCCTGTAACATTTCTTGCCTTCTCCTCCCAAACCGTTTGCAGTTTAGACATACATTCCACTGAAGAGCCTTCTGTAGTTCCTCTAAGACTATGCTTCAAGAACAACCATGTTCACTCTTTCCGGAGTGCTCAGTGCACAATATAACTGTTTACTTTTCTGTATCTTCCACTAAACCGTGAGCCCCTTAAGGACAGGGACTACCACATTTTATTTGTCTACATAGTTCTTTACAGTGCCTGGCAGGTAACAGGCATTCAATAAAATGTTATAATAGAATGAATGAATGAGGATAATACAGGACTTTGGGGAGTCTAATCAACTCCAAACCACATTTAAAAGCTCTAGTGTAGCTGTATCTTACACAGATGAGCCTTATTATCAACCTCTTAAACGTATATACGGGAAAAGGGAAACAAAAGGAATCTCACAAACGTGTTTTCTGTCTTGTAGTCTCACATTAGTTAAGACAAAGCCAAGTGTTTACATCTGAAGAGTTTATGGAAGGTGCCCAGGCTCTGAGGGGCTGGGGAGGGTCACCAAAGATGACTACTGAGCTGTAGACTTTTCTGACTCCTGGTAGGAGCTGGCTAGGCTTCTTGCTGTGCTCACCAAGTCCTGGAGTTCTTTCAGCTGTTTTCCTGTCAGTCCCCCAATGCCCAGGTCCTCCTCATCCTCTTCCGGCTGGGCAGGGACGTTACCAGAAGACGGGCCCTGTTTGATAAAGAACTCTTCGTGCTGGTCCAGGAGGAGCCCGTGAAGCATCCAGGCTGAAAGCTGTTTATACATGACCCCATGACACACAGCCAGGACTCTGAGTGGAGAGGAAAGCAAGAGCCTCGAAAGTCACTTAGAGACACTCAGCCCCACAGACACCACAGAGGCCACGCTTTAAACTGCTACAGGGTAAGCGGAGGCCTGAGAATCTGATGAGTCATAAGGGAAACAAAAATGAAGCTAAAAATACTTGTGCTACGAATCAAAAACACTGGAAATAACAAATGTTGGAGGGGCTGCGGGGAGATCAGAATTCTTATGCACTGCTGGTGGGAATGCAAAATGATACAACCATTTTGGAAAATGATATGGCGCTTCCTCAGAAAGCTAGAAATAGACATACCATTCGATCCAGCAATCCCACTCCTAGGAATATATTCTAGAGAAATAAGAGTCGTCACTCAAATAGACATATGCACACCTATGTTCATGGCAGCATTGTTCACAATAGCAAAATGATGGAAACCACCTAGATGCCCATCAACAGATGAATGGATAAACAAACTATGGTACATACACACAATGGAGTACTATGCAACGAGAAAGAACAACAATGAATCTGTGGACCATCTCATAACATGGATGAAACTGGAGGACATTATGCTGAGTGAAGTAAGTCAATCACAAAAGGACAAATATTGTATGAGACCTCTATTGTAAAAACCCATGAAAAAGTTCAGGCACAAAATGTAACAATCTTTGTTGGTTACCAGGGATGGGAGGGGTGGGGGGGAAATACTAAGTAGGCAATAGATAAGTGGTATCTTGGGTGAAGGGTGAGACAGTTCACAATACAGGGGAAACTAGCATAACTTGTACAAGGAAAGGTCATGGAAATCCCATAGACACATCCAAACTCCCTGTGGGACTGAACTGCTGGGCGGAGGGCTGTGGGGACCATGGTCTCGGGGAACAGCTAGCTCAATTGGCATGACACAGCTTATAAAGACAATGCTCTACATTCTACCTTGGTCAGTAGTGTCTGGGGTCTTAAAAGCCTGTGAGCGGCCATCTAAGATACTCCCCTGGTCTCATCCCTTCAGGAGCAAGGGAGAATGAAGAGAACAGGATACAAGGAAAAGAAGGACTAATGGTCCACAGCTACCAAGTCCTCCACCGGACTGAGTCCAGTACAGCTAGATGGTGCCCGGCTACCACCACTGACTGCTCTGACCAGGATCACAACAGAGGGTTCTGGACAGAGCTGGAGAAGGATGTAGAGCATAATTCTAACTCACAAAACAAAAAAGACCAGATTTACTGGTCTAAAGGAGACTGGAGAAACCCCGAGAATATGGCCCCCAGACAGCCTTTTAGCTCAGTGGGGAAGTTAACTCCGAGGTTCACTGTTCAGCCTGGGAGTGGACAGCCCCGTAAAACCAAGTGAGACTAACGAAGTATAGGAGTCCAGTGACAAGGGCCAGAAGGCAGAAGGGAACAAGGAAGCTGGTGATAGGGAACCCAAGTTTGAGTAAGGATATTGTTGATGTGTTGTGAGACTGTTAACCGTTGTCATAGGGCAACATTTGTAGTAACTGTTAAATGAGAAACTATTTTGTTCTGTAAGCCTTCATCTTAAGTGAGAATAACAGCACAACTGGAAGAGTGTAGTCAATGTCACTGAACTGTGTATGTAGAAATTTTTGAAATGGTGTATCTTTGGCTATGTGTATTTTCACCAAAAAAAAAGGTTGAGAAGTTAGAGGGTTGATATGTTGTGGGGTTGTTAGCCAACGTCATAAAACAACATGTGTACTTGTTTCATGAGAAACTATTTGTTCTGTAAGCTGTCACCTGAAGTACAATAAAAATAAATAAATAAATATTAAAAAAAAAAATACTTGTGCTATTTTAACTTAAATGCTTGTGGATGGATGAAGTGATTCAATGTCCAAACTTGTAACCTACATACTGAAATTGAAAAATTTCCTCCTTTGTGTAAGGTAAACTTCAAAACTGATGTAAATTAGTTAAAATTAAGTGGATGTGGAAGAGTATCTTTTTGGCTAGCACAAATACTAAATTTGTTTTCTTTTATTCTTATTGGAATCCTATAGGGAGAGTAGATTCAATACATGAGAGGCAGGAATATCTTTAAAAATGTATCATCTAACAAAATACACAAATGAAAACTAATGGGTGAAAGGATACTAAGGGAGGATATTCACCTCGTCTCAAAGGATCAGCCCACAGGTAACAATTACAAAAGGGAAAAGGAACCTCCCTCAATGGAGATACCTAGCAGAGAACCACCTAAATCAAGTGCTAAAACTTCACAAGACCAATAATGAAACAGACTGATTTCCGTGGGATTGAACCTTCTGATATGATGCAATGGGAAATAAACCGTATCACCCACGTAGTAATCTTGCCAGAAACGTTCAACCTGAATCTAATCATGAGGAAACAGATAAACCCAGATGGTGAAATATTCTATAAGACAACTGGCAACTTCTTAAAAATGCCAATGTCATCAAAGACTGAAAAAGGCAAAGGGAATTGTTCTAAATTAAAGGAGACTAAAAAGACACAGGAGGGACCAGTCCCTAGAGAAGGACATCTTGCTCGGTAAAGTAGAGGGTCAGTGAAAAAGCGGAAGACCCTCAACGAGATGGACTGACGCAGCAGCAGCAACAATGGGCTCAAGCGTAACAGTGATTGTAAGGATGGCGCAGGCGAGCAGCGTTTTGTTCTGTTGTACACAGGGTCGCTATGAGTCGGAACTGACTTGATGGCACCTAACAACAACAACAAAAGATACAACAACCAAATGTAACCTGTGAACACTGACTGGATCCTGGACTGTAAAAAGGGAACAGCTATATCCCAACAGAGCAGAAGAAAAACGTAGAACAGAATTCAAAGTCACATAAAAAAGACTAGACTTAATGGTCTGACAGAGACTGCAGGAACCCCCAAAACTATGGCCCCTGGATGCTCTGTTAACCCAGAACTGAAACCATTCCTGAAGCCCACTCCTCAGACAAAGATAAGACAGGACTATAAAACAAAAGGTAATACATGTGAGGAAGGTACTTCTTCGTTCAATCGGGTATACAAGACCAAATGGGCAGCTCCTGTCCAAAAGCAGGATGAGAAGGCAGGAAGGGACAGAAACTGGTTGAATGGACACAGGGAACTTGGGGTGGAAAGGGGAAGTGTGCTGTCACACTGTGGGGATTGCAACCACTGTCACAAAACAGTATGTGTATAAATTTTTGAATGAGAAATTATCTTTAGCTGTAAACTTTCACCTAAAGCACAATTAAAAAAAAAAGAGAGAGAACAGTTATAAAGGACTTTTGGGGGACAACTGGGGAAATCTGAATGTTCTGGATGTTATATTATTGAATTAATGTTAACTTTTTGGGGTATAATTATGACGTTGAGATTATATAAAACAATGTCCTTTTTCTAAGGAGTTACAAGCTGAAGTATTTAGGGGTTAATATCTAGGGCTATTGTCAAATGATTCAGCAAAAAAATTGTGGTGTGCATGTGTATATATATATATATATATGTATATATATATTTTTTTTTTCCCACACACATATATGTAGAGAGAGAGAAAGGAAGGAAGGAAGAAAGGAAGAAGAATAAGCAGATAAATGTGGCAAGATGTTAATAACCAGTAAAACAAAGGCTAGATAAGTGTTTATTGTACTGCTTACTATTCTTTCAGCCTTTTTTGTAGGTTTGAAATTTTTCAAAATAAAAAGTTGGAGAGAATAAGAAAATATAAGAGTTTGAGTCTGCTATTTGTAGAATGCTAACTAAATAGAATCTCTTAAAAAAAAAAAAATCAAATGGGAAGCCACTTCCATTTATGCACATCTGAGTATGTGGTCTGTAACATCTGGTCCCTGTAAATGTGTGACAAATTCAATTCATGTATATGTCATATTATTTATATAAGATTTTGTAAGCATGTAACTACATATATTTACATATAAATAGAGAAACTGTGGAGAATATATACCAAAAGTTAACACTGAGTATCTCAAAGGATTGAGAGTACAGATGATTTTCTTCTCTTTGCATGTCTGTAGTTTCTACAATCAAAATGCATTTCTTTTGTTAGAAAGAAAAGCACAGTAACAGAGAATTAAGTGCCTTTCTACCCTTTGTCCCTAAACCATTCTCTGGAAAGCTTCCTGCTCTTCTGAGGATTTACCTGTGCCCTGGTAAAAGTGGAGATTGTTCCATGGTCTTGGGGAACATCTAGCTCAATTGGCATAACACGGTTGATAAAGAAAATGTTCTACGTTCTACCTTGGTGAGTAGCGTCTGGGGTCTTAAAAGCCTGTGAGCAGCCATCTAAGATACTCCACTGGTCTCATCCCTTCGGGAGCAAGGGAGAATG